ATATATGCATATAGACATATATACATCTACATACATACATACCTATATATATATATACTTATACATACATGCTTGCATGCATACATAGAGACATACTTATACATATACACATACATACATATATGTATATATATATACATACATCTGCACGCACATACGTATGTATATACACACACATATACGTACATACATGCATAGATACATATACATACATACATCCTTGCTTAATTTACAAATCACATATATACATATACATACATGCTTGCATACCTCTATATACATACACACATACATATACACACACACACAAACATGCATATATAGATGTACATGTACATGTACATATGTTTTCATGTATATACATATACATATACATATATACATATACATATATACATAGACATATACCTAGATACATATACATACATATATATATATAAACATATAAACATATATACATGTATATACATATATAGGAAAGTACATATATACATATATACATATATACATATATACATATATACATATATACATATATACATATATACATATATACATATACTTACATACATACATGTACAAATACATATACATATTCATATACATATACATATACAACTACACATACATATACATAGACATATACATATTCATATACATGTACATACACATATGCATGTATACATATATACATATAGACCTATATACCTTTGTACATATATACAAATTCATATACATACGTATACATACATACAGATATACGTACATACATACATACATCCATACATAAAGACATACATACATGCATACATACATACATACGTATACATACATATATACATAAAGTTGTACATATACATATACATACACATAAATATTTACATCTACACACATATATGCATATATATATATATAAACACATATGCATGTGGATACATGGGCTTATATGTAGACGTGTCTGTATGTGCGTGTATACATATATATATATATATGCAATTCTGCATCTAGACATATATACACAAGTGTATGTACAAGTATCTTCATACAGACATATATCGGTATGACATATGTATGTATATATATATATCCACATACACACACGCACACGAGCGTACATATTATGTATGTATATCTGCATACACAGACACGTGAGGGCATGCTGGCACTGCTAGCACTTTTAAGACCACATCCCGAAGACAGCAAAACCACCCTGAACGTAAACTGAAGCCAACCCCCATAGATATTTTTTCCCGATAGACAAAGCTTCATAATGCAGGCTGAAATAGACTTAACCTACAGAAGGCCAGAGCTGCCAAACAGCCACATTGCACAGGAGCTGTGGTGACGTGACCACAGAGCAGGCCCGAATTAAGCCAGAGCACCTCTTAAATACATAGCTTTATATAAGGATAGAGGATTCACGTACCAGGTCTGCCTTTGGGAATGGAACTTAGATCGGTGTTCTATCTATATACATGTACGGAAACGAAATATACAATAATATTAGTGAGTTTGGGTTTGTAGGGTTTATAGGGTTTACATATATATATATATGATTTATATATATATATATATAGGGTCTCTATAGTCTCTATATAGGGCTTATAGGGTTTGGGCTTTCTCAGAAACATCTACATCTATATGCATTGCCAACTTGCGTGAGGTCCCCTAGTTTTTATTCTGTCAGGGGTTTGCCAATAGCATAGTGTTCAGCCATCATCTACATGGATAGGAGTGCAGGAAGGGGATTCATTTCCGGATGTCTAGGTGTAGGTTGGTTAGTTACAAATGTACTCCTATAGGGTACGGTTTCAGTTGCGATGCACCTAGAAAGATGAAATGGCATAGGCAGGGACAACTTATATCCAGAAGGGCTGGGCCCCAATCATGACAGCACTACCCTGACTTAAGAAGTCCTCGAAAACTCCTTTGCATTAGAGGTGGCTCGGCAGGTGTGGCCTCCAGGCTTCGGGGATTTCCAGTTTTTTAGAACCGCGAGCATAACGAACTACATCCATGAGGTCGCAGTCATGCCACAAGTCACCCCATTCGAAGTCCATCTGGTTCCACAATTGGATGAGGGGCTTGTCGGACACCTGAGATGATGCAGAGATGGGCTTGCTACTGGGTACACTATCAACCCTATAAGCCCTATAAACCCTAATAAAGCCTAGAAGCCCTATAAACCCAATATAAACTCAAAGTATATATATAGGGTATATATATATGTATATATATATATATAGGTTTGACAGGGTTTATATACACATATACATATATATTTATATATAGGCTTTAATTATAGGCTTTACAGGGTTTATAGAGTTTAGACATTATATAGGGTTTATGGGATTTATTTATATATTTACTTATACAAGTATATAAATAAATAGCTATATATATATGTGCATATATATATATGTATATATATAGAAGCTTGAGGACTAAGTCTGTGCGAACTCTATAAACCCATTCCTGGAGAGTTGGAACACTAGTTGGAGGTTTTGCAGGTTGTCCTTGAGGAGAAACATAAGATCCAGTCATCTTAAGCTACCCGATGTAAGTTAGGTTTAGCAAGTTCTGCTAGAATAGCACATTAGATCCCAGCCATCAGCCCTGGCATCAGTGAGCGAGGAATTGCCCGAACCCCAACCAAGATGGATCCTAATTCTTGTTCCTGTCTATACCCCTGTGCATAAAGTTCATATGTCGGACCCAGCTAGCCACCTGAGGCTTCTGTACACACCACACACACATATATAGATATATACACCTATATAGAGGGACATAGTTTAGGGTTGCTAGCGAGTCTCTATATCTATGTATATATATATGAACTAATAGAGGACATATGCAGGTAGACATCTCGACATATTATATAAGAGGGTAATTAAGCTTATCAAATATTAGCAGATATAAGGATCCTGGCAATCTAGAACATAGACACTTTACAGTACTTTTAAGGGTCCCTAGTTTCTGCAGCCAACAAGAACACTGTGGCGTGAACGGCCACCACCGCCAGAAGCGGCGAGATGCTACATGGTCCTACACGAGGTGACCCCGCTATTGGGATCTCGTTACCGATTCGATCTGGACCGGTTACGGAGCCAGAGGTGGAGGACATTGTCATCACGGACCCCAACTGACGCTTCGAGATAACAGCTTCACCCGAGGGGCGGTTGATACGTGCGCCCAAGAAGCACTTACCGGGCAGCGCAGACACAAGCCCTGACCCAGGCATCCGAATTCCAATGGTGGACAGGATGGCAACAACAACATTGCCTGGCTAGACTTGGATCTCCAGGACAACACCTAATGTACGTAGCACTGGACCTTAAATTGTGACGGATAAGAACCCCATGGCACAGCTTATCTGCTAGACACATAACTCAGACCAGAGTGCCAACGTTCCCAAACCAGTGTAGTCAAACCCCCATCTACCACAATCCCATCACAGCCTTGTAAGACACCACAAGCAGAACCAAAGCTTTATTTTAATTGGTAGCTGGGGTGTCTGTAGAATGCTAGCCTGGTTATATAGGTGCCTTACCTACTGTTGGGGGTTTTGGTTTGTAGGCCTTGTGCCCAAATCTACTCGCTTACCCAAAGAACAACTGGCTTCTAGGCCTTTACCCTGATCTTCTACAGAAAAAAATAAAAATTTAGTCCTGTTCTAAAGCCCTTTTTGAGCCCCTATAGAACCCCCTGTAATATCAACCCTGCCTGAACCCCAATTTAATTCACCCATGCAGCCCTTTACATTGGCGAGTTTGTAGGGGAGGCACTGCATGGAATAGGACGCAGTAAGTTACATAAGTGTATTTCGGGGCTTCTCCAGGTTAGGGTTTCGAGGTTCGGGGTTGATCGAGGGTGTATGTATATATATATATAGGGGTTCAGGATTTGACCATTCAGAGAGCCTTATATATATATATATAGGGGTTCAGGATTTGACCATTCAGAGAGCCTTACATACTAGTGGTTCAGGATTTGACAGTCCAGAGAGGCGTACATAGGAACATCATTGATTCGGCAGACTGGACAAGTGCCAAGATACATAGATATAGACAGGGCCATATCCTAGAGACCCTGTTTTGGGTACTTCCTTTTCAGGATAGTAAGTCCTAATTAAAAGGGGGTTTGGTATATAGGCCTTGTGCCCAAAATTACGCGCTCACCCAAAGAACTGGCTTCCAGACCTTTACCCTGATCTTGTACAGATTACAGAATAATAATTAAGTCCTGTTATAAAGCCCTTTGTGAGCCCCCAGAACCCCCTGTAATATCAACCCTGCCTAAACCCCAACTCACCCAGCCCTGAAGCCCTAAGCAAGACAACGCAGGTCTGTGAAGATACTGGCAGCACCATTTACATTGGCGAGTTTGCAGGGGAGGCACTGCATGGAATAGGACGGAACAAGTTACATAAGTGAATTTCGGGGCTTTTCCAGTTTAGGGTTTCCAGGTTCTGGGTTGAGGGTATTTATAGGCGTGGTCGAGTTTAGGGTTTTATGGGGTTTCGACCCTATATATATATATAGGTTTTAGGGTTTAGAGTTTATATAGGGTTTTAAATTAGGGTTTAGAGTTTGGGGTTTTAAGGCTTTATATGGGGTTTTAGGGTTTATAGGGCTAACCCTATATATAAACCCCAACCCTATATACACCCGACCACTCCGGACCCCAAAGCCAATATTTTAGACGAGGCCATATCCTATATAGACCCTGTTTTGGGTACTTCCTATTCAGGATTTTAAGATCATTCTAAGCATATATATGTACATAAGGGCTTTAGAGTGTATGCCTTGTGTTATACCACTCTGACAGAGACATTCTTTGTCGGGTTATGGGGAATGCTTCGCTACTAGGTACGACTGGGTTGTCCTTCATGCGGAACTTAGTTTTACCCTAGTATATACGGTTCTACAAATGCACCATCTACCCTAGTTACTTTAATATTGTGAACACTTATATGCAAACCAAATTTGCAGCTGGGTCTCCGTGAACTCGATCGGCCTTTGAGCCATCATATCCTCCAGCATCAGCACGAAGTGGCGCGCGTAGCAGAAGGTATACTCCCTGGGCAATGACAGAGGATACTAGGATCAGGCAAGTATCATCTAGATCTGTACATATGGTTTCAAAACTATGGGTTTTGCTAAACTGGCTAAGGGGCTGAGTCGGTTTCAGGTTTTTGTTGGCAGTCCAGCAAACACGTCCGTTCCGCTCCTCACGGTCTACCGTCTGGACATTGGTTTCTCGTTCTTCAGCAGTCATAGGTCCCAAGTCTAGGCGGCCGATTATGTCCGAAGTAGACCACAGCCACGTCCGCTTCCACGTGAAAGATTGGAACTTTCTCATCCACATCGAAACTTTGAACGTCTTAGTTTTCACAGCACTGCAACCTAGCTACAAAGCAACAAACACACAAGAGGCACTTTCCTGTACAAGTGTTGCTGGAAAGGCACTGTCACACCCAGGCGTAGCAGTCGATGCAAGAACTTTACGTAGCGATCGTGTAGGGCTATCAAAGACCCCTGTGGGTTTTCCAAGACATAGTGGCCACCAGCCGCCACGACCAAATGCATCAAGATTGTGCTCCTGCAGAATACATGTGCACACACATGCATCACAAGCACATGAGGTCTCAGAGACATCCCTTGGAATCTAGCTTCTATAGGTTCCCGACTAATTACCTGTCCTGGCCATGAGTTTGTTGCCCTTTCGAACAGCAAGACTGCTTTCATCTCCTAGAGGACAAAGGTAGCATCTCTTAGACGTGCCTTTGTTAACCGGCACGAAACTTGAGCACACCACTCCAAAGGCTGCCACCAGCTGGTCCAGTTTCGACCGCAAGATCAAGGAGATGGCTATCCTTGGCTGCTATATATTGTAGGATCAGAAGAGTGTATTAAATTAGTATATATGTGTACATATATGTATATATATATTCTTATATCAAAAGAAACCCTCTGTGTATACACATACATACAGGGTTTCTTTTGAGGCGTCGATCTACAAAGGGTTCTCTAGTAGGCTTGTGAAGGGTCCGTGGAGGAGTACATATACATGTGGACATAAACTATAAGAGATAGCAGAGTGTAGTTTTATATATGTATGTACATGTAGAAGCCAATATATATAGGCCTTCCGGAAGTCACGGTAGCTCCTAGAAGCGAAACGCAAATAGAACGACACCATACCAATGCACACGAAGCCTCACCATTCCTGCATTGGAATTCAAGTCCATGGATGATCTCTTATTCTTGCGTTTCCCGAGGGCATCCCCATAGGCCTTGTCGTACGCCTGTACTTTGTATCCTGCACCTTCAGCAACCAAAGCCAGACGAGCCCTTCCCGCAAAGTAATCCAAGAACTGGATGCCTGAATCCGGGGAGATATCCAGCCACCACACCAAAAGGACCAGGAAGATGATAACCTCAATTGTTCGGTCAGGGGAGAGAGGCATCTCTATATAGGGAGGTAGAGAATTATAAGGAGGTATGTTGAGCCGAGGTTTGGTTTCGCGGGGCTTGCGCGGGGAGCCAAGTAACACCTTACTTGTTCTATTCCTGTTCTACTAAACCTCCTCACCCCCGTACCCTAGAATAACCTTGCAGGAGCCAAAAAGGTACATGAGCCCCGTCGTTGTAGAATTGAATACATGACTGCGACATATATATATATAAACGCTGTAGCTGGTATATTCGAGACCAACCGATCATTGGTCCGTATATTATGTATATATATATATATGTATATATGTATATGTATAAGTATGTGTGTATATATATATATTTATTTATAGAGAGAGAGAGCTAACCTATATATACATACAGCGGCCCCGATGTGGGTTTACATAATACATATATATATATATATGTTTATGTTTATGGAAAGAAGTATATTTGTATATATATATATATATACATAGACAAGGTTAGGTATGCATGTCTATATATATATACAGAAATATATACATTCTTATGCATATTTTCATAAATAATTACCTATATGCCGCATCGATATTTGATGAGGGGTTATGTATCTAAAAACATATTGTGTAATGTATTTTGTATGTATATATATACTATATAGGGTCAAGGTATGTATACATATGTATACATATATATATATAAGTACTATCGGGTTTATAGGGCTGGGGGGTTGATACTCATGGTTTTACAGGGCAGGATGAAATAGTAAGAGCTTGGGGTGCATTATAAAGGTTGCACCTATATGGTGATTCCCAACCACGGGCTGCTTTTTGTTTCAGCTTGGTTTTCATTACTGATTACCAGGATCTTCTTGAATCACGGATCCTTGAATAGTTTACACAATCCGTGAGGCCTAGTTACTGATCTCCAATTGCAACTGCATCTAGAGTTCGCACATAGAAGAACACCGCTGCTGAATGCTAGATGGAGATAGACACAACGAAAACATCCGAACCCTGTCACTGGGCAAAAGCCGCGGAACCTTTGGTGTCCCGAGGACGAAGAGCCGTCTAACGAAGACATCGAAGTCTGCTGGAGTCATGGCAGCAATCCTTCTTGAACCCTTAGAATGTTCCCTCTAATCACAACTAGAAAAAAAACGAAAAGAAAAGCCTAAGTAGTCACTGTATTCACAGAATTTGGTTACATAACACCTGCGGACCCCTCGATCTCTGTATACATACATAAACCCTGAACCACACCCTCGATCGATCTCTACACAACTACATATCCAGACATATGTATATATATATACACATAAAAACTCCATAGGTATGTAATTATATATATATACATATATATATATATACACTATCTACATAGCTAACTTTCTGTATGTAACTGTGCATAGGTTAGGCAGTTCTGCAACAGCTTGATCGAAGGCCTGAGCGGTGAATGCAGCTCTGCAAGCGCTGGGCGGCAAGTTTGATGCACAGCTCTGGAATAGGGTTTTATATAAACACATATAGAACATATCTAGAGCTAGTTTCTTTTCCAGATATCGTTGACAAAAGCTGCAAAGGGATCTCATTCTACATCATTAAAGGCACACTTGGCAGATGTGTCTAGACTAGAAACTAAGGTTGCTAGCTCGGGTTTATATATATATATAGAGGGTTTATTATAGAGGGTTTATAGGGTTTATAGATCGAGGGTTTAATATATATATATAGAGGGTTTACAGGGTTTATAGGACCCCACATATATGGTTTCCTAGAAGCCTCTATGTAGGTACTACATGTGTATGATCCCCACTCAACCTTATAAGGGCCATCCAACGACCTGGATATAAATAAATAAATAAATATACATATATGTGTATATATATAAGTACACATATATGAGTTAACGGCGTGCCCGTACATTCCTACTACAGGGGTACTTATGATAACTACCTTATACTAAGAACATCTTTATACCTGTTGCTAGATAGCTCAGGGATCGAAAGTAGTCTCGTGACGCTCGGGACTTTCGAGGCTTTCTGCATATGGCGGGTTTCGGTTCGGGAATTTGTTGAAGCAAAGCCCGGCTAAAAACACAGATGAAACATAATCACTCCATGCACTCTGATGTGGATTGCATACGAGGGCCTTCAAGACTCGAGCAAGATTTCCAAGTAAACCTCTTTAATTAGGTCACCTTCGAAACCCTCCCCAACCTCCGAAGTCCTGATGGGATGGAGCCCGAAATAATTAAAGTCTTGATGTGATGGATCTCGTACTGGGTAGTGGCTTCCTGTCACGAACTACACAGAGGGAAAGAGGAAGAGAGAGGGAGAGATCGCGAACGAGTGAGACGAGAAGGGGGAGAGAGAGAGAGAGAGGGAGAGTAGTACATGCAGACACGAAAACCCAGACAAAGGCAGACCCAACCTACGCCGTAGCAAGGATTTATGGACCCCATGGTGCACGACTTCGGTATAATCTCCTCAGAATGTAACAGAACCTCCGCTTCATAGAGCCCTTATCTTCAAAGTACCCAACCGTATAAACCCTAGAAGCCCTACTATAAACCCTATATATATACATATAGATAAACCCTACAAAGCCTATATACCCTATACTATATATATATACATATATAAATAAACCCGATGAAGCCTATATAATATATATATATATATAGATATAGATATATAGAAACCCCATAAACCCTATAAACCGACATGCAACCCAAACCTAGAAAAGTAAAGCCCAGGGTTGCAGTGGAGCACTTGGCTGTGGTCCCACGCCGAACTTCCAGAGGTTCACGCAGCTGTGGCGAGGCATGAAGAAAACCTGCATCCAGGAGGCAGGTTATTCGAATTGATCACATGTGAGCACACATCAGCTGTTAATTGATTTTTAACGGTTTTGCAAGACGATCCACTGTGGCAGAACTTTCACACTTTTCTCACTCCAGTGGCGGAATCGCTTCCCCAGGATGGTATTGTCTGCATGTGTGCACACACACGCACAGAAGCACAGGATCGCCCAGGCTGCACATGTTGGCACGTGCTGCCCCCCTACCAAAATGCACGCGTGCCGTTTGCACACGTGTCTTCAGAGGCTGCAAAAGCGCAGCTCTTCTTCGCAGCTGAGTAGCTTTCGACTAGTCGAGGGTTCCATGCCTGTACATAGCATATATGCAGGTCCGATATCATATGGGTACATGAAATCGTGAGGCACTAACAGTATAAATTCGACTAACAAACATACATATAGGTTGAAGCACTCAGCTCTGAAACAAATCACGACATCACAGCTGCTCCGTCGCCATGCGCACAAACCGATCCACCTTCGCTTCAAGCTGCGTTTCGTACTCTTTGAGTGTCCAGTCGTCCTCCGCATCCTCATTGCTGAACACGCGGCTGGCGAGGTTGTACCAGGGCTCCTGCAAAAAATGTCAACTTCTGCTGCAGAAGCAATTAACATGCACAGCATGAAAACTGACATTCGTGTTGCATGCCATGTTTTTGTGCACTGGGGAACCTCCCAGCAGGAACAGGGGAGCATGTGATCGCGAAGCTTCGGCACAATGGAGCGGGCAAACACATTCACAATAGCTTGCCAGCGGAACGAGGCTGGCTCCGTCTGGGGCATCGTCCTCCGTGCGAAGGCAACCCTGGGAGCACTGTCGTCCTCGTCAAACTTCTTGCTCGGGCGACCCGGACCCTTCTTCTTTGGCACCCCCTTGGGATTCGGCTTCGCCTTTGCTTTGCTTTTCCCTTTGGCCTTTGCTTTCGCTTTAGCTTTCCCCTTCGCTTTGGCTTTTGCCACCGGAACTGCTCCAAGATCCTCTAGCTCATCCCCAGACGGCTGGGATGACTTATCCTCCACCCCATCATCATCGGACGATTCTGGCTGTGGCGACTCTGACGGGGGCTCTGGAACCTCCTCCTTCTCCACCTCCACTGAAACTGGCGTCTTCTTGTTGAGGCGAAGCCTCTTCTTGGGGCCTGACTCCTCTGGTTCATGCTCCTGCAAAGCTTCCTCTGGGTCTGACTTCTCCTTGGGCACAGTCTTCTTGGGGCCTCTTTTCCTGGGAACCGGAACCTCATCCTCTTCAGCACGCTCCTCTTCCTCTGGAACTGGCTTCTTCTTGCTCGACGGCTTGCTTGGCTCAGTCGTCTTAGTTTTTTTGGAGCGGGGCTCGTCAACCTCATCCTCCACTTCCTCTGGAACTGGCTGCTTCTTGCTGCGCACAGCCTTCTTGGGAAAGAGCTCCGGAACCTTGTCCTCCTCATCATCCTCCTGCGAGTCTCCATCTGGAACTGGTTTCTTCTTGCTGGGCGGCTTGCTCGGGGCAGTCTTCTTGGGGCGTCCTCTTTTCGGGGGCTCCGGAACCTCATCCTCCTCATCCTCCTGCGAGTCTCCACCTGGAACTGGCTTCTTCTTGCTGGGCGGCTTGCTCAGCTCTGTCTTCTTGGAGCGTCCTCTTTTGGGAACCTCATCTTCCTCAGCATCCTCCTCAAAGTCTCCACCTGGAACTGGCTTCTTCTTGCTGGGCAGGCTGCTCAGCTCGGTCTTCTTGGGGCGTCCTCTTTTCGGGGGCTCGTCAACCTCATCCTCCTCATCATCTGGAACTGGCTTCTTCTTGCTGGGCAGGTTGCTCAGCTCGGTCTTCTTGGGGCCTCTTTTTTTCGGGGGCTCTGGAACCTCATCCTCCTCATCATCCTCCTCAAAGTCTTCATCTGGAACTGGCTTCTGGTTGCTGGGCGGCTTGCTCAGCTCGGTCTTCTTGGGGCCTCCTTTTTTCGGGGGCTCTGGAACCTCATCCTCCTCATCATCCTCCTCAAAGTCTCCATCTGGAACTGGCTTCTTCTTGCTGCGCGGCTTGCTCAGCTCGGTCTTCTTGGTGCCTCCTCTTTTCCGGGGCTCCGGAACCTCGTCCTCCTCATCATCCTCCTTATACTCTTCATCTGGAACTGGCTTCTTCTTGCTGGGCGCCTTGCTCAGCTCCGTCTTCTTGGGGCATCCTCTTTTCGGGGGCT